ATCTTTCTATATAAACAATCGGATAATAAAAAAATTTAAACAAATAGTAATTAAAATTACAATGAGCTGTTAAATAAAGTTTCAAACAGTGAAAACCACTTATTATGGAAAAAAATTGCAATCCTTTCCAATAATCAGTGAAAGTCTTTGGATCTTAGAAATGGTTTTTTGTTTTCAATAACTTTTGCAATCATTAATGAATCCATAAATTAACGGAAATTTGTTTCAGATTTTCCGAAATATCAGCGTTTGTTGAGTGCGTTCTCTCTGAAGGAAAATGCCATCAAATTGATGGCCACCGACAAGAAGCCGGAGCTCTCGTGCATCGACGGCATACGAGTGCTCACAATGGTCTACATTGTGGTCACACATGTCATTGAATACACCGATTGGTCTCTATATAGTTAAGTACACAAAACATGCAAAAAATTTCTCGATGTTAAGTAAACATTGTATAAGAGGTTATTGTGAACAACCCTGATGTCTCAGCTTACACTCAAATGCAAACCATATTTACTTGTATATGAGTTGTGGCTAATTATAGACCGGAATTATAGCCTATCAGTGAAAGGGAAACAAATTGCGTTTAAATTTACTTTTGTATTTCACACACAATACCCCAGAGTTGGTAATCCCTGAGTAGTCCTGAATATCCCACCACTTTGTGAAACAATAGATGTTTATCTGTTTCTTGTAATGCATTGAAGCGAAACAATGATTGCATTTTTGATACTTTTTCATAGAATTTGCAATAAATATATGCTTTGAGTTCAATATTCAACAGACAATTGAATAATTAATGATTGTTTTGTCTTTCAATAGTTGTTTATTCAATATTATTATCCAATTTGTCATACTTTCTCTATAATCGCTTAGGAAGTCATTAATTATCTCTTTCTTATTCCAATATATAGATAATGTATTGTTTAAGGCATCTATAGTTCGGTCTAAGATTGCAAAATAAAACTATAATTCTTAACTAAATATTAATTCTGAAGCCATTAAGCATTTATAATTAAAACGAGAATTAATTGTGTCTATGATTGCAAACAGAGGACACATTCAAAATCAAAGACGCGATGAATGAGTGGCAGAATATTCCTCTCTCTAAAGTGCATACAGTTGTCGAGACTTTCTTTCTTCTCAGGTATTCTTATGTCAGACAATTGGTCGTCAATTGAAACCCTTTTATTGCAAAAATAGCGGACTTTTGGCCTCATATACGACACTAAAGCACACGAAAGCAAAACTGGAGAACTTTGACCGACAGTCCTATGTTTGTCAACGAGTTATACGGCTTTTGCCACTAATGGCGGTCTTTANAAACTGGAGAACTTTGACCGACAGTCCTATGTTTGTCAACGAGTTATACGGCTTTTGCCACTAATGGCGGTCTTTATTTTGCTGACAACTCTGGTGCCGCTGACCAACAACGGACCCGTTTGGAACCAATACATGGCACACAGGATTGACACCTGTTATACCAATTGGTGGCACAACCTCTTGTTTTTGCATAACTTTATTGACTCCAAGAATATGGTGAGGAATTATAGCATACTGTAAGCGGTGAACAATGACTAACTGTCCGCTGTTTGTGGTGACAGTGCATCGGCACCACTTGGTTCTTGTCGGTGGACATGCAGTTCCACGTGTTGTCATTCGTGGTGATTGTGGCCATTCTCAAGAAACCCAGTTATGGTCTGATTATCAACTTTGTGCTCATATTGGCCTCAATTCTGATCGTCTCTTCACTCATATTTGTGATGGATTTTACTCCTGGACGCGTCAGCACTCAATTCGGGTAAACAATTGATTTGCAAAAGTGTTGACACAAAACAAAATCAACAAAAGAGTATTCATTCAACAAATGCTTTGAGTTATCAATCATTTTAACATATTTTCGCATTCAATGGGATTTTCTTTTTTAACACATTTAGCG